TTCACCCGAAATCCCTTCCCCATTCAAGCAGTTTCCTCAAGCAAAACGTATAGATATTTGGGTTCTTATGCGGTTTGATCAACAACCAGTTCAGCTAATTCTCTTAAGAATACGAATCTATCGGGAACGTTGAATCCCGATAGGACTGTACCCATTCCCGAAGGTACAACAAATTTCCAAACATTTCAGTCAAATCGTTCCCATTTTTTTCAGCCTAAAATTAATGGATTGCTTGGTTCTATAACTTCTCTTGCTGTCCCTCCTGAGACTCAGTTATTTTTATCACTTTGCACACGGGAATAAACCGGTGTACAGTGGATGCCAGTGAGTAAATTAAGTTACGCTGTGCATGAGTCTTTTTCCTTGAAATTAGTCTTCTTCATATACTGTATAACTTACAAATAACTTACAAATCAAAGCCGTCTATCCGCCGGAAATCCTTGGAAACCCTCTATTTTTATCAATTAGAATCCCGTACGCATGGTTGATGAAGCACCAATGACGATACCCTGTGAGTCAAAGCACCTATAAAAAGAAAACGGTTTTAGGACTGGTTACCAATATGTCACATCTTTTATAATGCAATTTCTAGCATTTGGTCCACACATCCTCGGAATCTTGATTCCAGTTGGTCGGACACGCTTAAACGTGATCGCATTTATAACACCCCTTTGTTTCAGAGATTATAAACCCTGAGTCAACTTCTTTTCAGCCTGTTCGACTTTGTCATTTTCTCCGTTTATTTTCTGGAACTAATGCTTATCATTGACGATATCGTTCATCTTGGTTATAGCGTTCCTTCGTCTGTGACCTCATTCTGCGCTTACTCTTCCTGTGTAACAACGTACATCGACCGTACCAGTACACGCCTGAGTCAGAAAGCTCGTGAGCATTATCCGGTTTGGTTATGTAGTGACATCCACCTTCTCTCTGCATGAACCATTCCTCTTTTGCATTTCATTGTTTTACCGCACCAAGACCACTTGTTTGGTCAGTGCGTGTTTTTTCTCACTTTCTTCTCGCTAACGCTTCCGTATCTTCCCTTTTGGTTCTACAGGTTTACCCATCGTTACGTTTCGAGATGTATCTTGTTCTGCTTTTGTACGAACAATCGTTTTTGCCATATCCGTATTATCGGGATTTCGATAGAATTGCTTACTGGGATGACAAAAACAATTTATGAAGTCATTACGTCTCCAATGACCCTTACCTCACTCCATTTTCGCCCGACCATCCCAATCTGTATTATGGACTGAATACCATAAGGGAAACAGTAAACATTATCTATCTTCATACATATGCCCCTCGACAAAAGTATTGTTCAACCGTATATTTGTGGATCATCTCCGCCCCCAGATGCACAATCATCAGCACATTTTTAGAATCTACATAGCCAAGAAATGAAAAGCCAAGAAAGAAGATCTCATCAAATTATCGTCTATTTTAATGAAGATATAAACGAAAAAAAACAGAATTTTGATCGCGAAAAAGTATTTCAGCACCTCCTCCTTGTAATGTGTTCAATGAAGTCAGTTTGGTTCCGGCTGCATTGATCATTCTGCCTCAAAACTTCTACACACCTCGGTATACTCTCTACAAGACTTTGAATCCTGTCCATGTTTCTATGTTTCCACTACTTAAATAACGATACCTGTCTTCCGTGCTTTGTGGTGTAAGCTATGGTATGTTGCTATACCTTTCGCGTAAGACTAGTTCAACTGTGTCCTATTGAGTTCAAATCTGGGCTGCACGCAGGCCACACAATTGTTTTGATGCCACAAAATAATAACCAGCATTTTGTTAGATTCGAGTTATGAATTGCTCCGTTGTCCTGCTGGATAGCCAGATGGTGTAATAGGTTCAGATCCACTTTGGCACATTACTTGAAGCGAAAACAGCTAATGATCAGTCATAAATGGATTGGATGCCAGAAGACGCATTCCGGGAAAGATAAACACATATTTCCACACGTGGACTCAAACTCCGTGAGTCATGTATTGGAGACGAAAACGATGCTCGAGTTGAACTTTTGGTGCGAACGATTCAGAGAACACTGAACTTGTATGAAATACAAGAAAATGAGAAGGTAATTAGCCCTAACAGTTTTGCAACCAGAAAAAACGTGTATTGTGGGCTGGAAGTCATGTAACTTGTGAAAACGAATGGAATGTTTTCAATTTTAGAGACTAAAATAAATTTAATTCACATGGACTCTATGCATAACTGGTATCTAACCAAATGGGGGTTATCATTTCGTGACCTGAGTGCAGCCCAGATTTGAATCTTATAAAACACAGTTGGGTTATTGTTACTAGAAAGATGTAAAAAGGCACCAGAGTTTACACCACCAAGCACGAATTAGAGGTACCCTTAGTTCGGTAGCGAAATAATGGAAACACTGATATCGATCTCGTGTGGACCTAATCACGTGAGTATTGTATTCTTACTTCACTCAAGCACTTTATGCCTTGCTCCTTTCATAGTGGTTTGATCAAATTGGATTGAATTGGATTATTCGATTCTAATCACATATTAGCTTAAATCCATATTATCTCGTATTTAGTATAAGCGCTCTTGGGCAAATACGAGGACAAAATTATATGCCTTAACCCGAGAAAAATCCTCATAATCGCTCACTATGGCACAATAGTTTCACTTTGTAGATAGCTAAAATAAGTGTTGTGTCCAGCAATTGTGTACATAGTTTATCACCGGTCATTGATCAACTTGATGAGAGCTGGAAAAACTAAGAACCGAATGCTACATTATTTTATTATGCAACGGAGAAATCATGATTACGTGTCCATTTTAGGCAAAGCGCGATTATTCACATGTATTTGTTTGTGCTGTCACTCCCATGGATGAAACATTGTGTCCCAGGGGGTTCAAAATCCGCTTCATTTCTTTCAAGCACACTGCTCGCATTTTATCCGCTGTCAAAAGTTGAACTGTTTGTGTATATGGATCATAGTGCGGCAGAAGCGGTTTACTAAGTCCCACAACGTATTCGCTATATCGGATAAAAATAAAGAGGTGGGGCAGAGATGGAATAAGTGGTTAGACGGACGAGAAAACAGATTAAAAGTCGACAAATTAACAAACCGATAACAAACTCGTCACTGGGTTTTTAGTCACTGAGTTTGTTCGTAGTAAAATTCTGAACGACCGTTATATCATACAAACTCTAAATTGTATACCTGTCTCTAATTTATGACACTAAAAGTGACTGTGGGTAATTGCTCGAGTTCTTCTCACATCTGCTCACGTTCGCGAAACGACCGCAATCTCTCTTGCAGTGATGCGAAAGTGATAAAAGCGATATACTCATAAAGAAAGACGATGGATACGATGAATCTCCGTCAAGCGGTAGCTGGATCAATTATAGTCCATAGGCTCCTAATCACTGATCCAGCCGTGAAGTATTTAGAAATAGTAATTATCTGGCTTAATCTGATGACCTTATAGGAATGGTTCGATCTCTCACTGATAAAAGGTAAAATTTTCTCTCTAACATGGAGAAAATTTAAGTTAGCATGACATATTTTGGATAAATGAGATTACGTGCAAATGTGTGCATTATTAAAAAAAAAAGTTGTGAAAAGGTTTGGTCATTTTTAAATAGTCGTAAATATCACTCAAATCAGGTGATTTTCAAAGAACGGTTTGCAATCGGATGCAACAAACCAAATGTTTCAGAAGGATACGTAATTAGCAGTTTCCATATGCATGTAGCACATTGTTTTTTTTTGAAAAAATATGATATTATAAGCATTAACAGATTTCCTGAAATGAACCAAATGCAAGCATCTCTATCCAGATTAGTGTTAATGGTAATCGAAAGCATTCGTTTCGGTGTTCTCGAGTTGCTACCTGTGATTAGTATTGTAAATGCAGTTACTACCATTAGTGGGAAGATTCCACAATGCTGTCAAGAAAAAAATATGACGCATTAGGCCATTTTCGTAGCTTCGTTTGCGTGCATTTACAGTTCTATATTTTGGGGGGCTAAGCTCGTGATGGAAAAGTTCCAATAATGCGTCGTTCTGTAATAACAAGCTTGTGCAAGCTTATGCTTAGGCAGAAAGAAAAACAGTTGGCTATATGACTGATAAATGTGAAGATAAACGGATTATTACGTATGCAGAAAAATGTATTACAGCTTGGAGAAAATAAGTATGCGGTTCAACGTTGTTCTAATCTTTGTTTAAGAGTGTACTAACAAGGTGCGGCACCGATAACTTTCTGTACAAGGCTGACCAGGTGAGGGGGGTAAGTTATCAATTGGGAGCGGTCTCTTTATCAACTGTCATGAAGAAGATGACCCCAGGTTTTTGGAAATGTATACATGAACTGAAACGTCTTCATCGACGGATACACAGATTTAAAAAAACGAGTTTGTACCCCCTAATTGCCATAAACAGCTCTAAAACAGATCAAACAGCCACATTTTGGCGGCATTACTTCCATTCCCTTAACTGACCCACAGGCTTAAGATTAAAGCATTGGAAGAAAATCACACAGAATAATCTACCAAGCACCAACTGTTGAGCGAGTTTTATCACTCCCGCCTGTTCTGTGATCAACTGAGTGTTTGATTGTATGCCCAAACAAATAATGCGCACCAATGACCGATGTGATAAAAAATCATTGGAACTGAAGCAAACGAGACAGACACTATGCCAAACTGACAACTGACTATTGAGCGAATTCGGAAAAAGTGTATTTTGTGCTTGCTTATCGACCCAACCGTAAATGAACAGTCGAATGAAAGTTTTTAAAATTTTATCATATGTGCATAATGTTAAAACATGGTGGTTGTCTGTAGGGCCAGAAAGACTGCTTCGAGTGCTATTCAGTGAATTATGCTGATAATAACCTAGATGAAAATCCGAACCCCGTTTTATATTTTCAAGCCAATACCATTTGTGTTAGTCCAGACTGCTCGATCAGGAACACAGAAATAAAGAATGCAGATGTGCTCTATTTAATAAACATTGACACTAAGCTACCAATGGTAGCAAAACCTTCAGGTAAATCATGTTGAATAACAACACGTCATTGACTCCTGGAATTGTTCCTACTTGCCTGAATTGTTGTTCCATACGTTCAATGGATTCGCACACAAAGTACACCAGCTGATAGCCCACATCATCATACGGTTGAATTGCCGTAATATTGGGCACGAATGGACGTTTCTCCGACTTCTCACTGAACGCGTTTTCCAATTCCCCATAGGATGACATTATCCCAGCTCCTAACGCCTTGATCCCGTCGGCCTCACGACACAATCCGAACTCGACTGTGAACCAATAGACCTGAAAAAACAGCGGAAACGAAATGAGGAGGGGCGAACTGTGAACGGTGTCGTGGACAAGGACTGATTTTTGCAAGTAACTTGATCACAATAAGAATGGTAGGTAAGTTAGAGCTTCTGAATAAAGTTAAATGTTTTTCAATGAAGAAAGTATGGTGGAATAACTCTTTATGGAGTTCAATTCATCATTTTTTCCATTTTAGTTGTTTTTATTGGGGGAGGCAGCCAATGAAAGGGCTACTATATAGCATTCAGTAGAGAAATTCAGACAGTGTTCGTTCTCTGAGGTGAAAATGCAATCCTTGATGAATAAGCATAACCACGAATCAAATGTGAATTTCTCTATGGACACGAAGCTCAGCCAATGATCAGTAGTATAGTCGGGAAGAGAAAGATTAAAGGGGCCAGTAGAAACACACTTTGTTTATAAAAAGATGTGTTTAGACAANGAAATTCCATATTTTATCTAACCGACTTTGATCACTAATCGTGGACACACCGTGTAATCACTTTGGATCACGCGTAAACCAGCGGTCGGGTATTGAATTTTGCGATTCACTGACATAGTTGCTGTTCCTTTCGAAAGAGCTTTTCTCCATTATCGTTTGTTAATTATTATTCTTATTCATAGTACTTATAATTGAACGGCGCTATTGTGCTAAAGGCAAATTAACGTATACATTACACATTTCTGATACTTCCAATATACTGTGTTTCAACTACTTGATATTAATGTAGTTGTAAAGAGGAATCTGTACACTATACCAAACATTTGTTACTGTATCACATCGCTGAATTCTAATAAGTCTTAAGGATTACTCAAACTTAGACGTCACCTAATCGGTTGGGTAATGTTTTGGTGTTGGTCGGGAGAAAAATGATAGTGTGCGCGTTGAGCTTCTGTCAGAGGGAGAGAGTACTTGTTGAATCGGTTTCAATCAACAAGGATTGATTCAGTTCAGTTCTTACAACCAAAACCATGCACTTTCCGGCGCCGGTTTTGATTGTTGTCTTTTGGTTGCCCATTTGGATAAAACAGCAGAATTCTGATTTAAATGTTTACAGTAGATTCAAGCGGAAGATAGCGCATTTACATACACCGAAGTTATAAGAATAATGAGTGGATGCATGAGCGCTACTGGATGCGAAACCAATCCATATCGCTCAGTGTCTCTAACCATCGGTGACCGTCATCTCGGGGTCCCCAGCCAGAGAGCCTAACAGGACCTGGTCCGGGTTTTCATACCCTGATACAGATCATAGTATTTCTATACAACTAGGTTTGTCCTTATATTTTATCTGCGGCTCGAGGCAATTATTCGTAGAGTTTATTGTAATGCGTTGGTTGATGAAAAGCAGAAATGTATCGCCTGGAAGATTTTTTTAGCTGGAATTTAAGAAAGTAATGCTAGTGCTCGGGGAATTAACAACTTGCGGATTCCGTGGTCATTTCGTCACAGATAAATGGCTTGATGACATCTGATTTTCAGACCTAATCTATTTTCACAAGAATGGTTTACTCGGTTCCGTTGACTGAATGGCATACAACAGTGGTAAAGGCCTCCTACTGGATGATTTGTTTCCAAAGTTCAAACATCCATTCTCAAAGTGATATCTTCAAAAGCCAACAAACTGAGCCGATCTGACTGTGTGACAGGCCGAATCAATAAATCGCTGGCAGTAGATAGCTTCTATTGCAGTGCGCACTAGAAACGCGTAATCCATCGGGTTCTTTTTAGATCTTAATTGGCAAGTAACCACAGCGGATGCTCGGTCCTTCTTGAACGATAGCTCATCACAAAAATGAGTGTCAATAAATAATTACAAGTATAGGAAGCAAAATAATAGACCGAAAAACGTTACTACAATATGTTTGATCTACCGAGATTAAGGGTAGATCAGCGAAGAATTTGGCGACAATAAAACGAAAAGGGATAGAATTCCAAGTGTTGTCAAAAAGCTCGACCTCCAATGTTGCATTGAAAGATGATAAAATGTTTTCAAAAATTAAATGTAGCTGTTATTACATATCTCTTCTAAGTTTCTTTTATGCCAATGATTATAACTTAGAAAACTAAAACTAATGAAACTTAGGACAGATGTTTTGCTCAAAAATTACGCTGAATAAGAAACCGTTTATCAGGAGACGTTTTAACTCCACTGTGAATATTCAGATACTTCGTTCACCGGCGGTCCACTAGGCCAGTCAAAAATGTCAGCAATACCTCCGTCCACTGTCTCCTCATCCTTTGAGATCTACGGAACATCTCTGACGATTCAAGTGAATGAAATTACTTTACAGCGGTCAATAATTTGCAGTTGAAACTTACTGTGGCTATTCGTTTGANTTGATCTCTTCGTCTGATGCACCCAACGAGGCAAGACCAAGTTGATGACAAAAGTCGGCAAATTTGCGGTCCGTTAGCAGAGGCATATGACCTAACAACTCATGAATACAATCCCTGTAGAGGAAAACCATGCAAATTAGCAAGTGAATATTAAACAATTGATCACAAACTTTATGAGGCATAAAATACAACTATTTTCCATGCCACTGGCAGTAAACTTTATATCTTTAATAAAGCATTCAAAATTTTATTGGTGTCTTCGCTTTTTCCGATGTTTATCGCGTTGCCAAAATCTTCATCCCGTTGGCATTTGGTTTTCGTCTGATGGTCTTCCGTGGTGTACCCTTCCACACGGGCTCAGATTCGACTTTCAGCTAACGATCGTCGCTCTCTGTCGCAATAGCTTGTCCATCACATCATAGTTATATGTGCTCCGTCGCTACAGGTGCAAAATCCTAATCCGTCCGTTATCCTAACGGTAAAATTTGTGTTAATTGTGACCGTGTGTTTAACTTCTTTTACATAGATGTAAACCATACTGTGCTAGATCATCTCTCTCAAATAAATTTTGTTTATCGATGGAAATTTGAGCAAGGACTCGCATGTTTTGTACAGTATTTCGAAGAGTTCCCAGCATCCATTGCACATTTTCAGAGATCCCGTAAAACATTTTCGGAACTGTACTCCTTGCAGCAGCTGTTCGAAAAGCACATCAATCAAAGTTTTAAGCTTTGATTGGCTAAGCCAGTTATGCTGATACACCCTCTGTTCTGGACAAACATCACCGTTGTAACAAAACAAATAGTTCCAGTTTAAAAGGCACAACAACTTACGGCTCGGGAGTATGGAACGGCCGATTATGATGTCGGATGTACTGTGTGCACGGGAACACACGAAAAGCAAAATGAGCCAGAAAATCACGCGGAGCCACAAGTCCAGCTACCGGGCGGAGGCGAAATCCGGACGCTCCTGAATGGACCCCGAGTTGGATGTGTCAAGACACATAAGGTTATTTCCGATAATAATAATAATAATGATAATAATAATAATAATAATAATAATCCAAACTGCAAGGCGAAAACGAATTTCACAACGGAATCTTAATTAAAGTATTTTTTGAATACCTAACATTACGTCATATCTGTAAAAGTTCTTGCTTTGGTACTGGATGAAGCGAATTCTCTACGGTGGCACTGAGAACGGGTGTAAATGAGAGCCAGAGTATAGTTCTCTTCAAGGCTATGTTTCATATGCGAATGATTCCTTTTGATGAAAAGAAAGTTTTAGCCATAGGCTTTGACTGATGTGAAGAAGTGATCAAAAAGACTGACACAGTGGGAGTTATTGTAATTCATGCTCAGATGTAAGGTCAACTCATACCAGTATGTATACTCTTATAGCCCCCACAGTTTTCACTTTAGGTCGCAGTATTCTGAATTTCTGGTTAAGCTACGTTGGGGCATAAAACTATGGCACTAAGAAGATGAATGGTGATAGAGTAGGTCAGGGCCGCGTTCAACCGATCCAAATTCGCTCTCGGCTTCGTGCAGCAACAAAAACGCACCATTTATAGCCTAGAACCATCATAGAAACGGTGGGCTTGCACAGTGCTGGATATGTTAGGAACTTTACGTTGTGTTAATTAACTGGGATAATAATACTTAATGTATTGAGCTAGACACCTAGCAATGCATCGTGGACGTAAATGAATGAATTGACAGGTATAAGTGTTATCTGCTAAATACGTTCCTTCTTTTTCCTTGTGCACAGATTACCGATAAAATTGAGAGCGTACTTTCTAGCTAGTTTCCGATGAATTAGTGGTTACCATCACTCACAGTCGGTGATTACATCCTCATTGAACGGTTTAAGGACACAATGTTTTCTGTAGATCAGATTTCTGGTTCCCACCGGTTCCCACACACCATTTAAAGGGGTTGCTGAACATTTACCTTAAAAAACCCCATCGATCATGTACGATTCATGGACTCCTAAATTCAAACATAATCATGGCTAACTTCTAACGATCAACTACTGACTTTTGGTTTAGTGAAAAGCAGAAGTCAGTCAGTAAAGGAATCATTTGCTCTTGTAAACCCGCATTTCCTATGATTATCAGCAAAAGATCACCGAAAGTGACTTTTGTCCCGGGAGAATGCGATGTCATCCTCTTTGAATGGAAAAAACAAATGTTTTGATATTTGTTCTCTTTCACTTCTATTTAGGATTGGTTGTTTTCATAGCATGTATTCTCACCAGTAATGACGTTGATCCTGACAGTGGTCAAACAAATGGTCCCGGTAACCGAAACTGCTAAGCGAATTAAGGGTGGCGAGAAACAAAACGAATACCCGTCTACAGATAAACACCCAGTTTTATTCGTTGGTGGGAAAACATGTGCGTTTTAGCGGTGTGTGGAATTTTTAAGTTAACATTTAACAGCTTAGTTAAAATGGATCTGTAGGATAAAAGTAGGTGAAAAATGAACAAACTGGACTGAAGTGGTACAACTGTGGTAAATGACATGCATATCCTGTGAAAAATCATTCTTGTTCAGGTAGCTCACTACTCGTAAGCAGCATTATTATAAACAATGTAAAAGCACCACTCAGTCATTCGAAATAATCGCAAACGTCTCACAATGTTTCCATAAGTACAACCATTCTGAAGTTGGAAGAAAGCTATCTTCACCGGATTTTGCTATGCAAGCAGTAGAATGCAAAAGATATTGAAAAACGTTTATGAAATAAATATGCATTTTTCCATAATATTTGTGCTTTCTTTCTTTCGGAATTCTGTCTCCGACGTAGTTAACAAGATCGTTCAACGCGAAAAAAGCCAGTTAGGAAAATGCCAAGAAGAGTCTCGCGTTGGCCTATATTAATGGATATTGTAGTCCGTACTTAAGACAAGTTCAAAGGTTTATGATTATCCGTTTATTGTACCCGCTTCGAAAAATAGTGCGTGTATCTCAGACAAGTCAAGCGTTTGCCCAGTGTCATCATCGCTTGAACTTGTTCATTCCTAATCTCCCACAAGCACATCGTTCCAAAACTGATTCTCCTGTGTTGATCCTCTACCAACATTTCGGCAGCATCGGATTCAGAACTTATCCTCCTCCTATGCCGACCCGAAAATCATACGATTGATCGGGTTCATTTATCGATCGGTCAGATGGTTCAGCCACAACAAGGGACCTAGTTCTTGCCCAGCTAACCTGAACGAGAAACCACACCTTGTTTACGGCCGTGAGTTTTAGGCAGACCCAGTGAACGTGGACTTTATAGCAGGCGAACCTTCACCGCACGGATGGACTGGTCATGACAACAAGAGCCTTACAAAACGTACAAGCCGGTAATCAGACAGTCTCGTGTTGGGTTGAAGGATTCCAAGTGCCGCGGAATATGTTCCAATCAGATCACATAAAGGATCAGAGGGAATTTACTTGTTTAAAGTCACGGGTGTGAAGGAAAACACGTTGTGAAACGATGGATCAATCGCACTGTAATGTAAAATCGGTTCGACAACCTAAGGGAACTTTCAAGCTGTTAATCCTGTACTCCAACCTTGTAGAATTTTCGTTACACTTTCATAGGTAGTCCATAGGTAGTCGTCGTACTTGTTCAATGACTTCAATTTCTGTTCATCACCGGAAACATTCAGACAAGAAGAGATTCAATGAAAATTGCACATATAATCATGTAAGAATCTGAGTTAAAATTTAGATTGAATGGTTGTTTACATATAATTCACAGTTACTTGTGAGTAGTGATGTGGGATAATTGATATTTACTGACTTGAATTGATTATCTTTCGGACTTCACCTTCACGCACAATCCTCAGTTCATTCGAGTGTACGGTTGAATCGAAGAATTGAGGATTGTGCGTGAAGGTGAATCCCGAAAGATAGTCACTTGAAATCAATAAATGAAATGGTTTGTCTGCTGGATAAAAGAGTTCTGTAGATCATTTGCCTCTTCTAATCACAATATCGAGAATGAATAATGGATGAATGGGAGAATATGGAAATCAATCTGTTAAGATCCATGTTTTTTTTCATTCCGACACAAACACGCACTTTTCACTCACTTTCCAAGTAATCGGATACTATACTCAACTGTGGAATATTATTCGGACTAAAACCACAAAATTTCTCCAGCAGTTGAAGTCCGCGCTTATATTCAGCACAAGCCCACTTGTCGTGCATAGTGATCATTTTTGAGTAGACGGCTTTCCTGCGTAAACAATCGGGATAAAAATTTTCGATGCAGTGTATATTATGGATTTCGCAAGTACGAAGTAATCAAAATATTTCGAGTATCGCTGAACGTTTGTGACTGGCAAATGGAATAACTAGAGACAAATTCAAAGTCTTCTAAACGCGTACCTATTCGGTTCTGCTAGTAAAACCATTTTTTGTCTGAATAATGATATTCAAACAATGAGGAAGGTGCAAGAGAGAGAGCAGGCGGTTCTAATTATGGTTGACAAGCGACTCATTCCACCCGAAAAGACGGAAATAAACACTTCTATACAAACTGATGTTATATAAAATGTGACGTGTTGGTCATTTGATGAATCACCGAAAATAAGGTTGTTCACCAAACTGCTTTTTCACACAAACACTTCTATTGGATCCCCGAGTCCACCAAATGCTGCTCCAACTATCCTAGGACGGAATCGTAATATCATTCCGAAACCATCAATACCTCAAGTACCCAAAAGAGAACAGCGTTTTATATGCTTTACTGATTAGAATAGCTCACAACGTAATCCCTTCTTTTCTTTAAAGCACGTTTAGGATACCCTCAATATTAAAGAACAAAGTTCTGTTCCTGAGTTCGATCTGACGAGAAAAAAATTTTAACCGAAAAAAATAATTGAAGAATCTAGGCAAAAGTTTTGACAAACATTTTGTCATCGGGTCACATGAAGGCACACAGAAATTTTCAACGTTGTTGAAAATATCACATTTGAACTTAAACGACAGCGCTCTATCCACTGTTTCGTATCCCAAAATTCATTTAATGGGAAACAGTTGCTACTTTTGGAGTAAATTCGGGGTTGTTTGACCTTTAGTTTGGTCTGATTTCCACCACCGCTCTCACTAGTTCAACGATTGGAATGAATCTCTATTCTTTAGATTATCATTGATTCAGGTAGTTTTTCGCAATCTTTCATACGCCTCTGCGTACGATGAAGCTGTCCACTCTTCACTAACCAGATTCCGCTGGTCAAAATTTATAACCCACTGTTGAACTTCTTTAGGAAGACTGGTTCTAACTGTCTGCGGCTTTTACATCATTTGAGTAACTTGAAGAGCTGTAAAGACATACCAAGTTTCTATCTCTTCTTTTGAGTAAGCGATTTGTGGGATTGGGTTTCCGCTGAAAAGACAGATAAAAACAGTAGATTTTTGAGTGATTGAGCATTTCGATCGATTGCAATCATTTTTTCACTCTTACTCAAGCCCATTATGGCTGACTTTCTTCCTGACATTATTCCTTTAGCCTGACAAGAGCCCGTATGATCACCACTTTGGACTGCTAATGGAATTCATCTTATGGGATTTCACAGTCGACTATGTGCTTTATCAACGTCAACGAATTATTGTAAAATCATAGAAAAATGAAATTGGAGAGAGGTTTCTTCAAGTTTCTAAGCCCCAAACCACATAGAAATACCTTAGTCATCCTTGCAGTTGTCTAGAGGACAGCTTCTTTCGAAATAACTCTCAGAAATGCAGATGAAATAAATGTGATGAAAGGGACAAATACGTCTGGAAGCCAAGATAAAAAGTCGCATTAAGGTTTGTCACATCTCGATGGGAATACTTCACAATAGATGATTCAGTTATTGTTAAAATGAATACCGTCAAACGGCCTACAAAAGTTGTGTTTCAGAGTTAAATCAGCAGAACTGCGATCGATGAAACTTAGTTCAGACATGATAACGATGATATTTTCCCTTCCCTTCTATTCAGTATTCAATCATAAAAAGTTTAACTAAGCAGAGGTGGATTACAGGTCTTTAGGCGCTACCAAGAGGCCAATATGAAAAGGGTGAAGGTGATGGGATCAAAGAGTCTCGGTCACCGGGCGGACATGAAATTGGCAGCAACCATTAGGCTACCGACGCCCAGTGAGTATGTGCTACGGATAAAAAGAGTTTTGGGATGATGATTTTGGTTTTCTAAAAGTCAACTAGCGTTTTCTATTATCATCAGAGGTCACCCTTTATATAGTTAGCTGTTCAGTAGACGAATTTGAGCATTGTTTCGACAAACAGCCCATCGGTAAGTTGTTTTCGATTGCTCCGGTCGCTTCTGAGTTCTCGATTACTAAAGGACTTTAACATTCATTCGTAAGGAATATATACAAACGATGTTAGTATCCTGGATGTATTGTGCACCTTCTAGAGAAGTAAATGTTTTAAAGTTCACTTTGCCTGATCCGCTTGTAATAAATCAATAAGTCAGAGAACTTTTTCAGAAGTAGTTCATATTTACTACTCTACATCCAGGGGATGCTCGTGTTTGGAGACCAATGTATCCCAGTGTCGGGTGTCGCAGAATGGATTTGAGACTAATTTCGCAGACCGTATCTCAGGAAGAAACACGGAAATTAATGTTATTTAAAAAAAATCCTGTGCCAAAATTATGAATGTCAAGGCTTATATAGTTACATCGAACAACTGGTTAGTCTGGTCGCATCTTCTTATTTGATATCGGAAAGCATTCGTGATTTGGATGCGAAGACTAGGACATCATCCAAAGAGCGGTTCATGCAAGCAAACCCATGGTTGCAAGGATCAGTGGAGTTAGAGACCAGCTACTATGTAGTTCCAGTTTCTAGAGTCCGAACACTAGTTATAGTTTCCAAATGAACGCCGAAATAGATATTATAGTGAATGCATGGAAAGAAAACTTACTATATGTGATCGAATGCCAACTGTGCTATCTCGTGTCTTCTTTTACGGTACTCCATATCATTAAACCCCTAAATCAAAAGAACGCTAGTGGATAAAGTAGCTGATAGATTTTTCGGAGTACAGAACAAAATGAATATGAAACAAAACAGTTTAGAGGCAGTATCTGGCTTTATTTATGTGTTGTACTCATTGACCTTAAATTCTATTTCTAAAAAGGCTGTGTTGTACAATGGGATTTCTTAGTCACTTGAAAAATCTGCCTCCATTGGCTACTTTGCATTTCTCTGGAAATATTTAGCCGTTGAAATTCTATTACATTTGTCACAGAATGGATAATGGCAAACGAAAACCAGCTGATGGGAGTATTGTGCAAATCTGAAAAAGTTTCGTCGCACAGAGGGAGAGCATTGATTAAAAGCTGATCCATAATTTATTTGTGGTGATGAACAAGAAGTAGTTGAGAGTTATAAGTACCTCGGGTGCTCAGTCGCAGTTGGCCGGGGTGTTTGGGAGGAGATCACATGACGAATAGCCAAATCTAGAGCACCGCTCGCCAACCTGCGACACCTATGGCGCCGCCATGACATTCGACTGTCCCTTAAGGGTAGGGTGTACATCACCGCGGTTCGCAGTGTTCTCCTCTACGGTTGCGAGACCTGGCCCATCCGCGTTGAGGATGCTAATTGACTTTCTGTAAACTGCACCGATGTCTCCGAAGCATTGCTCATGTCAGGTGAGAACACTGGGTGAGTAATGGCGAGGTTTATCGTCGTGTGCTGGGTGTCAATAGTGGTTCTCTAACAGTAGTAATCACTCTACAGCGCCTCGGATGGCTTGGTCACCCATTGCGTATGTCTGTCCATCGACTACCTTTCCCTGCTCTCTTCACACGTGCCGGGCAAGGCTGGCAGAAGCGCCGTGGCGATCAGACCATGACATGGCGTAGAGGCATGAAGAAGATGGCTTCAGCTTTGGCTTCGGTTGGTGCAGCCCGCCTTCCGGGTTGGGGACCAAGGGATGAGGATTGTCGTTGGTTAGAGACGCTGAGACATATGGCCCAGAATAGAAGTCAGTGGTGTGAATGCTGTACGGTCTGCCTGTCGAAACCCCGTGCCCGTAATAAACAACAAACAACACGAAAAAATATCAAAAGCTGTAGAGTGAAACACTCAAAAAAGTTTTGTTATCCCAGTTATCTACCATTTTCTCGTGTTTAATCTCCATCTGTCCACTTTTTTCTGTATCCCAGCCAACCTGTCCCCTGTTAAAGTTACTGTTATTATTGTTATGGCGTTGGCCCTATGCTTGTCTACAAACCGGTACATATATATATATATATATATATATATATATATATATAGGCAATTGCCTCTGGGAAATTTATTAGTGTAATATCATGTGGGAAAACAATCTAATTTCTAATTTAATGAAACCTCCTTCGGATTTTATTCTAGTTGCATTCTTTCACTATTGTTATCATAATTAAAGTGCATCACTGAGCCTCGGTTCACGAGCCCAGCGTGAGCGGACAGCACAACACTTACCGGATGATCGGTCTGAAGTTCCGGTTGAAATTTTGTCAATAGATGACGACAATGGTCCAGTTCGGACACGTGACGCGGGATCCACATATCTGACAAATGAGTGACGGAAATATAAATGCATCAGGAAAAGTAAAGTCAATCGATATCACGTAAACGAAATAACAGTAATTAATAAATAACTGAACTTTAACTGAAATATTTTAGCGCCTCTATTCGCGTGGCGCACGATAGTGACGACCACCACAGTTTGTCCCATTAACCAGCAACGTTTCAACAAGATTGTGTTTCCCCATTATTGCGAGCACAGCGTAATTAAACATTGGCAAAGACTACCATCAAAGTGATTCTGCAAACTGTCTACCAGTTACAGTTCTTTCTTTTCTCCTAAAAGTAGTAGAATCGTCTCTGGCTAATTCAATAACGAAACATCTCGAGAGATGCAACATTCTGTCCCCAGGCCAACGAGAGTTTTGATCGTGATGAGCATTCACCACCAATTTGCTACTTGCACTAGACTGAAGAACAAATAAATTCGACACAAGTGAAACAGCAGATGTAATCTATTCGGTTTCCTTCAAAGCCGTTTTTCGATTAAACCACTTCACCGTTACCTTTTTGAGGTCTGATCCTTGATTAGTGAATTAAAGTCTTTTCCCTAGCTCATTAAATCTGATTCGGTTTATCAAGCACTATTCTGACGTATGAACGCCAAACGTGGGGTTTGTTCACGGACCCCGTTTATATGCGTTACTTCGTAGAGTGTAGGTTTTCCGTGTCTTTTGGAAACAACCATTGCTAAGTGCTCTAAACATGAGGAATTCTGGAGTTGTCGTTCTATGGGTCTCGAGAAGTTTTACATAATTTTGACAGTCATCAATCGCTCTAACGCTATTTTTACCACTCAAACGTCTTTTTAGGGTGTTTAAAACAGTCATGTTTCAGCAATTCCTTTCGACACGAATTTGATTGCAACATGAGTACATCATTCACGTTTAAGATCCTAGCCTAACTAATGAGATTAAAGTTCAAACTCAGCAAGTCAAACGAAATGATCAAAAGACTACGATTCTTTGTCAAAAGACAGCAATTGCTGGGCTCAACTCGTCTTACTGTTACCCAATTCGGAGAAATATTCCCGCGCGGAACAACTCCATCATTTGAAGCAGAATCTACTTAACCGCTGCATTAATGCTCATCTGAGCAGATACTTCTTTAAGTTGATTCTATAGAAGGGTCGGCTACGTTAGCGGCACCACTCTTTTGCAGCCAGAATATGCTTTATGTTAGAACCCGGAGTTGTTTATGACCTCAGTCTTGGCAATGGTCAAAATAATTATCATGCCTTTTTCGCACAAGACAACCTATTGCAAGGTTTAGAACATCCAAACACAATAGAGGATTATCTCAGACCTAAACAGGTCACCATTTCGAGCAGTGAATACATGTGTAACAGAAATACACAAATCTACGCATGGAGAGAACAAAATCATAAGAAACATATTTTTCCATAGTGGTCAAATTGGAATGTAACTAATGGATACTTTTCATGCCATGAGGAGTCCATATTGAAGCTCTCTTGTATGTATTTGTACTTGTATAACTTGTGTAACCATAAATGCTTACATTTCAGTTAAAAAATATACACTGTTCGTCACGTGGAATGAAATAATAATGATAATAAAAACGACAGGTAAAGAATGTGGGTGATATTTATTTCATGTATAAAACTTTTGACGTAGTTCATTTGAGACCTGTTCCTTTTTGGTAAGTAGTCGGACCAGGTGGGGGAATTCGTATAAATGTTAACGCGAGAGGGTAGATGTCGGTATGAGGAGCGTGCGGACGGATGGAAACGATAAGATAGATCTCGGTGTAGTGGATGAAGAGGGTCATCTAGAATCTTACGAGCAAATTTAAAACAAGAGTTGATGTGACCATCAATGAGTTCTATGATTAATGAATCGATAGAAGTTAATGATGCACCACTGATGATCACCAAACCACGGCGAATAGTTTTGAATTCTTGTTTGAAAAGACCGGGAAAGACTACAGGGTAGCAATAAAGTGTATCTTAGCTCTAGGAAACATTCTGAAAATTTGAGTTTATCTTATTAACAGGCAAACAAATCTAAGATCAATGCACATAGTCCACACAAGTTGACCCAAATAATCATCTGACATATCATATATTATCTGTATTGTATGAAACTACATCAGCTGATTTAAGGCTACAGATATGTTGAAGAATGACCTCAATCTCAGATTAGCCATCGGCACTCCCCATGAGTGCACCGTATGGTCGCATGCGAGGGAATGTAGAAATGGGGGAAGATATGATTTGGTGACGAACACATAACTCCCGGGTCACTGTTATAATAATCCTAATCACTTAAACATATTGCTTTACCCGTATTTATTCCGGTGATAATGAGTAAATCACCAAATTGGTAGACACCAAAACTCTGACTTGAACGTACGGAACTTGTAAGTCTAGGGGAAAAACGACAGAATTGGACGTAAATTACTGAGTTTTTCGTTCCGTTCGATAAATAAGGCCACTCAGTTGTTCTTCGATCTTCGATAAACAATCAGAGCGGTATGTGAGACCCGGTACCTAAATTGATAGTGTTCGCTGCACAGATACACACAGGTGACGCACATACCACTTGGCTCTACTTCCCTGATTACATCGCAAAGAAAACTGGGAAATGCAGATTGAGCATATACGATCTTGGGAACCCCACTTTGCCGGTGTCTTTTAATTTCGATTTGTGTGGCTTGTTTCGTTTAATCATTGACAATTTTTTCTGCTACCAAAATACTGATATTCTTCTTCTATTAGTTGCATTTTGTGCTCAAACTGTCCACAATTTATTAAGAGTTAGGCTGGCATGTTCTACGCTAAACTTTCCTGTTGTGCAATAAAGCCAAAGAAACATGTACCTGAGAAACTCAAAGGTATCGGACTGCACTAAATCTTTCAATCTCACTTGGATTGGTCATGTTTGTGTGGTCTATCCCAACAGAAACTTCTTGAACGTTTTGGATTTGTTTGAGTTTTTCTTCAACTTTCTTCAGCACATCGGGGGTACAGTCGACGAGAAGTAGGCAGCCGAACCCACCGGTTCTGTTTGGCATCAACAAAGGTTGATCATTTCTTGTCTCCATGTGACGAAGTTCAACTTCTTGTTCCTGTTTCATTGTGAAGAAAAAGAACTTTCAGCTACCTGATTCACCACGTGTTTGTCTTTTATGTGAGACAAATTTTAATCGTTTAAATAATGTTGTGGATCCCACTTTGGTGATCTAAGAGCTCGATAATACACAACAACTTTGCAGTCTCCTGTAGTGTACCGACCGGAAAAGAACAATAAACAGACCTCTTTTAGTGGGGTTTGTACATAGTGGGAGCCCTTACAGGCATACTGAATGTGCGTACCAGAGAAAAGCGGAAATACGGACTACACAGCGGACTACTTTTTTCATTTTTCCTTCCCTTTAATGGATGCGCATTACACAATTTTCAGGAACGTGGAAGCAGCCAATCAAAGGGCTGCCATAAAACAGAAAATGTTAGGCTGCAGTGGTAGGATTCAAATCTACCTCCTCCGGGTCATAATTTCATGACGTTCTAAGACATATCGTGAATACCACTGGTGGTTAATTAAGCACAAATACACGGAAATCGACTTAAATAGCAAGTGACCTTTCATATTTATGAATGACTGACACGTATTTAAGAGATTAATCCAACCGATGGCAAACAATGGTGCTAAGATGAGGGAAAATCGCGGTATGGCTATGCTCAACAATAATTAACTTCACAAATGTCACTGAAAAATAACTGAATAGAATGTGTGAAATAGTCGAAAAGTGGTAAGTTTTTGAGAATACAGACCAACTGGGTACAAATAAAGCGCATTTAACAAGCACAATAGACCGCGTATAAATATTCACGGAAAAAGACGATTCGAAATGGAAATTCTAGCTCAACTACCAAGGGCATTGTTCCCGTGTGCACAGGTTTGATAAAACAAGTCAACTGAAGGAATTCTTTCGTAAGCGTGACCAGTTATTTACATAACTCAGTCTGAAAATAGAATGCATTCACCTGGAACTTTTTGGGGATACGCAACTGTTTGAATTGGAAGTGACTGAATATGATAGCTAAACTGAAAACCTTCACTTTTACTCACTGTAAAATGTGAATAGTTTTAGTCAAAACGGTAAAGTCAATAGATATTTGTACTCGTGCGTAATAGGAAGGTACCCGCATTGAATGCAAACCAAATCATCGGAAGAAGTTTACTGCAATGAAACAAACCGAGACCGATAGATATTTGCTTTTAAACTCACCTCCAACACGAGCAACATTTGGCGGATGATTGATTTCGAAATCGCATTTGAAACGAATTGATCACGACACGTAACCACGATCGGATGAGCAGTAATCATGGCCCACGTTCCGACCGTATTAACCAGCTTAGAGTTGGCTGACATCATCAAACGGGTTGGAACTATGATTGGAAAGGATGTTAATATTATGGGAACAAATTTTCACTGTTTTGTTTTATAAAGTTTATTTTGTTTCCTTTTTTAACGAAAGCAATCTAACCATTAGATAGCGCTCATTGGATTTGTATGCCATCGGTCATTATTGATATACACGGTTCAGAGGCTACACTATCAAACGTTTACCCTACCTGGCCTTAAACTGTAATCATAGTTGACTTTGAGAGACATTTGGCGACTGCACCTTTGAGAACCAAGCATCTCGCCATTCAGACCATTGGTTATAATTCGTTACCTCAATATGTAAAAAAGCATCTGCACTAAACACAGAAGTCATTTTAGTTATACGGTTTTAAAACCAGACGTTTTCACACACACGATAACCGATTTGCTTGACGTAAAAAAATATCGAATGGCATATGCAGCACCTCGACAAGTTAATGATTTGTTCTTCCGCCGATCATGTATATGCCTTACCAAACTGTTGGTGTGATCAACATATGAATCTTTTCAGTGTGAACCTGTTCCCATTGGATTTGCGAAAACCGAAAGTTATTCTGCTGCAATTTGTAGGA